AAAACTTAAAAAATAAAAATATCTGTTCGTGCATGCGCAGGGCGGATCATGCATCTGGGACGGATCGGGTAGTGACAAGCACCATTGACCAATTTTTGACCCTCATTTTTTCTTTTCTTTTTTTTTTTTTGCTTGAATGTGAGAAACGTTAACGCTGAGAAGAAGTCATGTTTAGGCCCCATCACAAAGCTTTCTATTGCTGGACCCTTCCAGCAATAGAAAGCTTTGTTATAATTATTTCTAAAACAAAACAAAAAAAACAAAAGAAAACAAATATATATATTATAGTTTATATACTTATCAGTAAAATGTATACTTCCATTCTGCACAACATTAGATACTTTATGAAGTATTACTTCAAAAAAATATCACTTTGATGAAAACGTTATGACCTTAAACTCCCTTTTTGAAGCAGAGAGTATTTCACTCTTTTACAACAAGGCTTCAACAATCCTGCAGAAAATGTAAAAACATCATACTTCCTATTGTCAAAAAAAAGAGGAAAAAAACACTTTATTGCTTATTATGTGCTACCCCTGACAGCTGCAATAGTGGTGCATTGGCAGTTTGACTACTGCTGGTATTCATACTATTATACTACTAAAAATGTAAGGACAAATGGGTCAAACATTGAAAATCTAAATACAAAGCTGGTTTGTCTGTTTCCTAAACACAAATTTTAATACATTTAAGTTCACTTAGTAAATCAAAGAAGACTCCAGAGTTTAAAGTTTAATGTAATAAAAATGGACAGAACTCCCTTCAGTCTCTCAGAAACATCCCCCCAAAAAACTTTAAAATAAATCATTTGTGTTTTGACAGATGAATGTTAAGGTTAAATTTTGACCTACAAAGCTTCAATTTAAAACTCCAGTACTGTGGTGTTAAAGCATTACAGCTCACTACTTTATTCTACTTATTATCTACTATCTTTCACTAGGGCTGATAAACATCACATTCTCCAAAGGCATGGATAGTTAGGAACTCCACTGAACATCAACCAATTTACAAACAAATTATGATTTCTCAAATTTTCATTGTGACAACTTTTTAAAAGGTGTCATTTTTAACCTAATAACAGATCCCTATGGTGCGGGTCTGAGATCATTAAAACAGATCAGACCTGAGAGAACAGGGTCCAGTCCTCCCCTGTAAAAACAGTTTGAACATCTGGCAACATGGCCCAGCTCCACTCTCTCCAATCTCTTGCAAATCTCTTTTGGTCTGCTGGATTTAACTGAAGCACAGAGAAGTGGTAGTAATAAAGACTGAACTTATTCGTCTGAACACTGCCTATATTAGGTACCCTTTATTGAATTGAGGAGATCTGTATCAGCATAAAAACACACACCGTGAGTCCAACATTATGAAACAAAGCGCTTTTTGATAAGATTTCCAACATGCTTCCTTAATGGCATGGTGCGTTCATTTTTTTCCTGCTTTATTAAGTGTGTTGTAAGTTATGTTTGGATAGGAAGGTGCAAGCTAAACAAAATGTGTTTTTATACTGTGACTATTAGAGCTATGAAATACTTTGGAATTCAAATGCATATTAGGCTACTTGTAAAACAAATGTAAAGAACTGCAAATGTAAAAAACAGCCTCAGAAATAGGCTTTCTGTATTCCTGTTATATATGAACACACACACACACACTCACATATATATTCAATTTTTAGCTGGTTTTCTGAAATGTTCCTAAAAAACTTTCGCTCTAATTGTTTAACTATCGATACAAGATGTCTGTAACAGTCTTACTGAATGCTCAAAGATCCTGTTCAGTGAATGCCTCATGTCTCCTTAAAGATTCTTCCTTTTTTATTAGTTACCACCATGAGTCATTTTGACTTTTAACCCCCTAAGTTAATGTAAACAAACTTCTGGTAAGGAAACTGTATGGAGCCCTGTTATAGTTTAGATGCTGCAATAGAGATTCGGATTTAGGAGGTGCTGGTTTTTTAACCATTTTGTTCTTTTCCAGTTATGATAGTCTTCTAAAGAAAAAAGAAAAGACTTGCATGTCACAGCAGTCTGAAAATGCATAATTTTCATCATTCAAGATAAGACAAGAAGTTCTGCATTCTATTAAGTCTTTCTTTTAATTATTAAGTCCTTTTTTTTTACAGTATTTTCTGTGTTTTACACACAGTGTTTTATTCCTGCTTTCAGAAAGAAATGGGTAAAGTAGCCAGAAATTGCACTAAAGTAAAGTTAATACTAAATCAATATATTCTTAATGAGGAAAAAAAAGTAGTTAATCGAAGAAATTATTTAAATAAGAGTATCAAAGTATCTGGTAAAAAGAATATTATTGGGTAAATTAATATAATGTTTCATTTATATTTAAAAATGATGCAATCAGACAAATATATAAAATAAGCAACATGTAAACATGAATAAATTGGATGTATATGAAATATGCAGGAAATTAAAGTATTTTCCATAAAAAAGAGCTACATTTATTCACCTCTCAATTAAATTCAGTCTATTTTTACAGCTCCAATTCACAACACATGTCATCTCAAGGCGCTTTACAACCACATCATACAATCAAAGTCATATATTTAAAGTTTTCTATCTAAGCAAAAACAGTTGATTGCATTGACTCATTGACTTGAAAGCAATCCCTCACACCAAGCATGCTTGTAGCGACAGTAGACAGGAAAACTCCATTTTAACAGGAAGAAACCTCCAGAACCAGGCTTAATATGGCCATCTGCAGAGGCTGACTGGGGTTCAAGGAGACAGACATAGACATACAAAAAGAAGCAGAGATACAAAAGGCAACTGTCAACCAGCTCCAGTGGCGGCCCCACCCAGGAAACACACAGCCAGGCAGATGAGCTCTATTGAGTTAAAATGAATTCTGTCTTCTCTGGTCACCTATGCTGTGCTGATGAAGCTTTAAAGAGTCAAACTCTGGCAGATTCTGAAGATGTGACTTTAATTTATCAAACCTTAAATCTACATTGAGGAAGCTTTACTCTGCTCAGCTCTAGCAACACAGAACATTGGATTCATTTTAGAAAGGGACCAAATGTTATCTGTGTCTGAATCAAACTTCCAGTTGACAAAGTTACACTTAGAACATTTGTATAACCACAAAATCAAAAACATTTCAGAAAGAAGAAATACTTTTCCAAGTTGAATTTCCAAAATGTATTAAACCAATCCTCAATGCCAGCAATGTATACGTAAATGTTAGAACAGGGTAAAAACAAAGGGCCCAGAGATATTGTTTCTGTATGTGAACCTTAATGACTCAGCTTATCATTTGCATATCATGCTTTGTCCTGTAATTTAAAAATTATGTATACAAGAAATACAGGCATTAACACTGTACCCTCTTTAAGATATTGAGTTGTTTTTATTTGAGGACATATAAAACAAGGATCATTCCCAAGGGTTTAAAGGTACTTCAGCGAGTAACATTGGTACCTTGGAGCGAGGAAGTCCTTGGTTTTTATCATGGCCTGGGTTTTTTTTACATACCGTACATTTCCCCATTGTGGGACAAAAAAGGCATTTTTACACCAAAATGGTCTGTTCTTACTCAGGCTCATGACGGAATAAACAAGCAAAATAAATAAAGTTTGTTTGAAAAGGGTTGGCACAAGAAAGTCTTATCTCTATAACTTCTAAAGTACGACCTCTGAAACAATATTTTTTTAACAAAAAGGACATAAAATGTGAGTTTTTGTTCATAATACAAATTATGTTTGCCCCAAAACTAAAACCAAATTTTTCTTCAGGCATGGTGAGTATGAAAAGGTTTTTTTCAGCCATAATACTCTTAGAAGTTTGTAGTTGTTCAGCTAATGACAAATTTCTCTAAGAACAAAAGTTTCCTAGACATACATTTTGGGTATTTGGTCAACACTTAAGTTATGGCCAATATAGGTCCAAGCAACAGGGCAATAACCCAGAACACACAGTCTTAAAATGAATGCATTCATGTTGTCATTGTAAAGGTCCAAACACATTAATAACCAAGGTTGAGATTTTACAAACAATTCACCAGCAAAATGTCGCCCAGCTCACTTCACAGCATCATCAAACAGGAGCAGCCTTTATCTGCTCGTGGGTTGCTGTTGTATGATGAACTCAACATGATTTAATTTTGCTTAGCGAGCCACAGAGCTGTGTTTATTGTCGAAAGTGAAACATTGGTGTCGGTGCAGGTCTCCCTGGATCCACCAGATCCTCCAGAGACCCTCTCAGTTCATCCAGTACCACCACCTGCTCCAAGAGCCAGGGTTGGAAATAGTTTACCTTCAGTGGTACTTTGATCTGCCGAGTACTCAGTATAGGAACAGTTTTTTTTTTCAGTTTTTATTCAAACTCTTAATGGATCATCCTCCATTAAGAGTTTGAATAAAAAAGTTTTGTCTCTGCTGCCTTCCTTCACTTTATGTCACATCCAGATCCTGTCCCTGATTTGTTAAGGCAAATCAAATAAAAAGTAGATTTTATGAACTCACGCAAAAGTCTCCTTTTTTCTTTAAAGTTTTGCTTTTCTCTATTCTTTCAATTTTCACTATTCATATTGATGTAAACACCTCACATCTTCCATGATTTATTCACTTCTAATTACTTTTACAAAGCAATACCATGTAAATCCTTCACTTCATTCAAGCAACATAAGACACCACCTGGACTGAAGACAACACCAATGAATTCACAACTGAAGCCATCTTATGAAAAGTAGTTCTTTAACAGAAACTAGTAGTGAGACAAACTCCTATTGTAAATGGTGGATTTGCAGGCTTGTAAACCATGGGGTGTATTTAGTTTTTTATGCTGGCTGTCCATTTTAAATATTTTTTCTATTCCCTAAATATTGGAAGTGAGCAATCTATTTTATTTTTGCTATCTGAGATTAGGTTCAAATAATACTTTGTTTTCAAAACCACTTGTTGATTCCCTTAGGAAAATCCTAACAGAGAACAATTGGTCTTAAACCTTAAGGTTATCAAATGTAAGACTGGAAACTTGACTTACTTTAAGGCTGTGAAACTCCACGCAGCTCCCAGCTCTGCTCCTGGCGCTGTCCTTATGCTCGTCCTCCATCCCTACTAATATCTCCAAGTCAGAGAACCTTCGTCCCCCTGCTAGCATAGTGGGATTGAGCTGACAGCCTGAACCAGCCAAACTGACATCTGCTCAGTCTGAGTCCTGCACCCCTGCTTCCCCCTCTTGTTTATCGACTTCTCCTCTTGAGTCGGGCCTCAGATTGCCCTTCCTCTACACCTGTGGTTATGTAGATCTTTGAGGAAAAGCTAGGAGATGTATTTAATTTATAGGCTATTCACCAACAAACGAGGACAACAGATGTTTTTAGATGTTTTTCTCTTAGCCTCTCAGCCTCTGCCTGGCCGGCAGGGGTTTTGGTCCTGTCCAGTCGGTCATCCACACCCCTCCCACTGCCCATTTATTTCATACCCAGACAAATCTGTCTGGTCTGATTGGCTAGTCAGGTGGAAAGGGGCAAACAGAGGGAGGGTCTGTGAAGGGAATCAGAGGAGGGGGGCAAATGAGGCATGAAGTTCATGAGTAGGGTGACAGCATCATCTAAACTGTCCCAGAGGGGGATTTGACAAAGGATTTGGGCTAATCTTAGGCATTTTGTTTGTGTTATAGTAAAATTTGTTTCACCTGATATCAAGCAAAGTCAGGAAGGAGAAATAGTTATTAGATTTCCTCTCAGGCCTTTCTTTCAGAAATAAAGAAACTTAAAAAAGACACTAGAATAAAGCAAGGAGAGAGGAAAAAACACAAAACCACAAGACACTGAGAGACAGTGCTAGACTCAATTTCAGACTCATAGGGGCCAGAAACTACTTCTCGCCAAGCACCCAAGATTCCTTAAAAAGTACAGGCGGCTCTGCCCCTTGTTAAAGTCGAAGGGAAATCATATTTAAATGTCAAATCATTATGGCTTAAACATGTATATAAATGTACCCTTTATCAGACCATAGTTCCAAAAATTTTGAAAATTTCTATTTTCAAAAAAAAAAAAAAAAAATGCTGTCTCAAAATCTGTGAGGTTTTTTATTATCTTATGCATGCCAGGTAATTATACGCCAATTTAGGGCTACTTGGTCCCAATGTAATTTCCCATTGGGAAGATACTGGCATTAAGTTGCTAACTGGTTAGCAAGATGCTTCTGAGAAACTGGCCAGAACCAAACTTTCTTGCGAACCTTCCGTTACAACAGTCCCACCCTCTTGATAAACGACCAATCACATTCACTTTATTTACTTTTGTAAAGTCGTGCACCACTCGGGAGAATTCGGAAATGCAATGGTTGGAATGGCCGTTTCCCAACGACTTTAAAGATGGCTTCACAGTAGGGACTACAGGTAAGTTGGTTGTCTAGATGGACACCAAATGTATCTATACCCCTCTATCACCTCCTCTTCTTCTCCCAGCATTTTAAAAGTATTTGATTTGTTCCCTTTTTTTCTGAAACCTATAATTATTTCCCTTGTTTAAGGGAGTCCGAATCAGAATATTGTTTACACACCATGCCATAAAGCGGTTCACAAGCTCCCACTACTCAGCTTCTTCTCCTGCTTGATGCACACTGTGACTGCTAATTCATTTTAATATTTCCAGATTAAAGGAATTCTTCTTGAACTGGGGGTCAGATGTGTACAGAGTAACAACAGAACAGTTAGAAGTGCTGTCCCCTTTGGAGCTGACTACCTGGTTAGATAGTTGACCTTTCAGTCTCACAAACTGCAGTCTGCCTTTCAGAAAGTCTTTGATCCTTATGTCTGTTGATGCCTCTATCTGACTCCTCTGGAACTTCTGACAAAGTAAGCCAGGCTAATTCATGTTAATTGTACAAGTAATATGAAAGATCATGATCCTGATAGTGCTTCCTGCCTTGTCGAAACGGTTGGTTTGTTGAAACAGGTGTATTATGGCCTGTTCAACTACAACTACACAGCAATAAACACACTTTTGAATAGCGGTTTTTTGCTTGCTCAGTTGGACCAACAGGACTTTCTCTCTAAGATGTTCATGATGTAGGATGTCAGGTCAACAGATTTATAATCATTACAGAATTTGGCTAAGTGTCCTTTAATACAGGAACAAAGTAGGAGGTCTCCCACATCAATGGAACCAGGAACCAATGATTCAATTGAGCCTAATAGCAAAAGGGCAAACCAGAGGGCGAGGTCCATGAGTAGGTCCAGGGTTCAGGCCAGGTGATCCGATTTCCAGGGAGAATATGAGGGGCAATCCAAAGGAGAGTCAGGGCACACTTTTGGGTCCAGTAACAGTCAGGCTTTCAGATCAGCCAGGGTTTAGGCAGGCTCAGATAATGAAGAGACAAGACAGGTCAGGCAAACAGGCAGGCCATCAGATCAGATGTGGTTCAGGGATCAAAATACTGGGATATATTTCACCAGGTGGCTCGAAATAATCTGGCCCTGATGTCTGGTCTGTAGGCTGGTTATATTCTGATGTTGATATACTGTTGATTGGCTTTGCAGCTTTGCAGAAGTTTGAGATCATAATATTGTCCAGAGTGAGTCTTGCAGGAATTAAAGATCTTTCCTCTGGACCGTATCCTTTCCCGTTAACCAGGTACTGAACTCCTCTACCTGTTTCTTGAAGTTGGGATGCGACGTACTGTGTAGGATCTCCATCAATGAGTTGGATGGGTGGAAGGGGTCTGGAGGAGGGGTGTCAAACCTTGATGTCTTGACAGGCTTGACCCAGGACACATGGAATGTTGGAGGAATTTTAATGGTTCTTGGGAGTTGCAGATGCACAGGCACCAGGTTCACCACCTTGGAAATGGGGAATGGGCTGATGAAGCGTGGTGCCATCTTTCTGATGACCACTTTTATGGTCAAATTCCTGTTGGAGGGCCAGACCTTCTGACCTTCCTGATATTGAAGTTCCGGTAACGTTGAGCGGCCTTGGACTGTGCCTCAATCTTTTGGGTCAATTCAATTCAGTTTATTTATATAGCGCCAAATTCACAACACATGTCATCTCAAGGCACTTTACAGTTCAACCAGATCATACAGTCAAATTGATACAAAGTTTTCTATCTAAGGAAAACCAGTTGATTGCATTGACTCATTGACTCAAATACAATCCCCCACACTAAGCATGCTTGTAGCGACAGTGGAGAGGAAAAACTCCCTTTTAACAGGAAGAAACCTCCAGCAGAACCAGGCTCAGTGTGAGCGGCCATCTGCCGAGGCCGACTGGGGTTCAAGGAGACAGAAGCAGAGATACAAAAAGCAGCTGTAAAAGGCGGCCCCGTCCAGGAAACACGCAGCCAGGCAGACGAGCTCCAAGGCAGCTCCCATGCCAGAGGACGAAGAGAGCACATCCACTCAGTCACGGTCAGAGAAACAGGACCACACTGGAAAACAGGCCGATCTCCAACATCTATAAACAAGGGTGTTGATAGAAGCAGCACAGCTGATGTTTCTTTCCAGGATGACGTCACAGCCAAACAGGAACAGACGAGGCAAAGCTACTCTGAGGAAAAGCAGAGAGAGCAGAAGGTTAGAGATTGAACTAACAGATTCTGCAGAATAGGAGAACAGAGAGAGAATGAAGCAGAATGATGAAATGGGGGTCCCTATGTCCTCCAAAAGTCTAAGCCTATAGCAGCATAACTATAGAGATAGCTCAGGATAACCTGAGCCACCCTAACTATAAGCTTTATCAAAAAGGAAAGTTTTAAGCCTAGCCTTAAAAGTAGACAGGGTGTCTGCCTCACGGACTAAAACTGGTAGTTGGTTCCACAGGAGAGGAGCCTGATAACTAAAAGATCTGCCTCCCATTCTACTTTTAGAAATTCTAGGAACCATTAGTAAACCTGCAGATTGAGAGCGAAGTGCTCTGTTAGGAACATAAGGAACAATCAGATCTCTGATATAAGATGGAGCTTGGCCATTTAAGGCTTTATATGTGAGAAGGAGGATTTTAAATTCTATTCTTGATTTAACAGGAAGCCAATGAAGAGAAGCCAGGATAGGAGAGATATGATCTCTCTTTTTCATTTTCATTAGAACTCTGGCTGCAGCATTTTGGATCAGCTGAAGGCTTTTAACTACAGTTTGTGGACTTCCTGATAGTAAAGAATTACAATAGTCCAGCCTTGAAGTAACAAATGCATGGACTAGTTTCTCAGCATCACCCCTGGACAGGATATTTCTAATTTTTGTAATGTTCCTCAGATGAAAGAAGGAAATTCTAGAAACCTCTTTGATATGGGATTTAAATGACAGGTCCTGATCAAAAATAACACCAAGATTTTTTACTTTATTATCTGAAATCAGTTTAATCCCATCCAAATGAAGTGACTGGCTAATCAGTTTCTTTTTCAGAGACTCTGGTCCAAAGACTATAACTTCTGTTTTGTCTGCATTCAGGAGCAGAAAGTTAAGAGTCATCCAGGTTTTTATGTCTTCAAGACATGCCTGTAATCTATGTAATGGGTTAGCTTCATCTGGATTTATAGACAGATATAGCTGGGTATCATCAGCGTAACAGTGGAAATTAATCCCATGCTGTCTAATAATTCTACCAATTGGGAGCATGTATAAAGTAAAGAGAATTGGTCCTAGCACTGATCCCTGTGGTACTCCACAGGTAACCTTTGAGCGTGTTGAAGATCTATCATTAACATGAACAAACTGAATTCGATCAGATAGATAAGATTTAAACCAGTCTAGTGCTGTTCCTTTAATTCCAACAAAATATTCAAGTCTTTCTAAAAGAATATTATGGTCAACTGTATCAAATGCAGCACTAAGATCCAACAGGACGAGCACAGATACAAGTCCATTATCTGAGGCCATGAGAATATCATTAGTGACTTTCACCAGAGCTGTTTCAGTGCTATGATGAGCTCTAAAGCCAGACTGAAACTCTTCAAAAAGTTCATTATGGTGGAAGTGATCGCAAACTTGTTTGGCAACTACTTTCTCAAGAATTTTGGATAAGAAAGGAAGATTGGATATAGGTCTATAATTGACCAAGTCATCTGGGTCAAGAGACGGTTTCTTAAGCAGAGGTTTAATTACAGCAACCTTAAAAGCTTTAGGTACATATCCCTGTAACAGAGATAGATTAATCACATCTAAAATGGAGGAGGAGATCAAAGGGAATACCTCCTTAAATAACCTGGTTGGAACTGGATCTAACATACAAGTTGAAGGCTTAGATGAAGACAATAATTTTGCTAATTCAGAGAGTTCAACTGGATCAAAGCAGTCTAAACCCGGTTCAGATTCCATGACTACCTCAGGTACAATCGCGGATAGAGGAGTGCTTATGATCTTATTTTTAATAAGATCA